TTAAATCCACTCTTTTTGAAAAATATTTGTAGAAAATGTTGGTTTTTTTTTTTGGATAAATTACTCAAAATTTAAATGGAGTTCTGTTAAAAAAAAAATGGTGAATTTAAATTTGTATGAAAATTGAGTTTAAATTGAGTTTTTAATGATGGAGATTCATTTCAGGTTGGGCTTTTGATGTTTCAATTGCTTATTTTTGTGTTTTTGCAAATGTTTCAATTCAACAGCAATGTTAAGGAATCAGAAAATTTAATTAGAAAATTACCCAAAAAAAATATTGAATGATTGAATTTCATTTCAGATTGGGCTTTCTAATGTTTCAATTGCTGAATTTTCATTTCTCCTTGAAAATCTTTCATTCATTCTCTTCTTCTTCTTCTTTTATTTTATTTTGGGAATGTGTGAATTGTAGGTATTGAGTATTGATTCTGATAAGAAAAAGTTGTGTTTTTGCAAATGTATTTATGTTTGGGTACTTTTACAAAATTCATTTCAAAGTCAATAAATTTGATAAATTACATTTTAAATCAATACTTTTAAATTTAATTATATTTTAATCTTATAATTAATTTAGACACGGATATACACTAGGTGACGCATTACTTTTATGAGTGATACATTTTTAAACCTCCAAACCAACCCTGGGGACTTGCCTGGTTAGAATCTATTAGGAAATCACAATACTGTATTTATCATTATTTTTATTTTTAGAATCTTAATTTATTTAGCTTTTATTATTTGTTGGATAAACTACTAAATTTAAATTCTTAAACAACATAATAATTATTTATTTGATAGTATTATATATATCAATGGGTACAAACAATAGAATAATTATTTGTTTGCCGGCGGTGGGAGTATTTCAGTACTTCTCTGTGAGCTACATCACCGGAGTTTTGGGTTATTCCGTTGTTATTTTATTCGAGTTTTATAATACAAGTGTATGATACAAGTAAAATTATTACAATTTTTTAAAAAAGAATAGTATTTTTCAATATTTTTTCAATATTTTTGTCAAAAAATATTACAGACTTCATAAATTTTAATATAATACGTATGAATTATAACTGTATTTTGATCACAACATTATTTACACCGTGCCTTTAGGCACGGGCATACGCTAGTATATATATAAAAGAAGACAACAATATAACACCCAAATTTACATTTTCAACGTCATGTTAAAAAAAAAAAAACATAAAAAAGCATTTTCCAAACCGAAAAAAAAAGCAAATTGAAAACAATAAAAAAAAATTGACAAAAACGTAAATGAAAAAAAAAAGAACTACAAAAATACGCCTCATCCAACCAAAAGAAATAAATAAATAAATTTAAAAACAGAAATTAGTAGTTGCCACGTAATTTTAAAATAAATAAAACACATGAAAAACTATTTTTGAAAAATAAAAACAAATTAATGTATACAAATAAAAATAAAAATGACAAAAACGTAAATTAAAAAAAAAGAAACAGAAAAATACGCCTCATCCGGAAAAAAAAAAGATTAAAAACAGAAATTACCATTTGCCACGTAATTTACAAATAAATAAAACACATGAAAACCCATTTTTGAAAAACAAAAACAAATTATTGTATACCAATAAAAATAAATAAGACAAAAATGTAAATTAAAGAAAAAGAACAAATTAATGTATACAAAAAGAAAAAAAAAAAAAAAAACAAAAAAAAAAAAAAAAAAAAAAAAACCCCATAAAAAAACTCCCAAACCCAAAAAAAAAAAAAAAAAATCCGCACCAACAACGTTGACGTGGAGGATGTATGGTAAGGAGTAAAAATATAAAAAAATCACTTCAAGTGGCAGTTTGGTCATTCACCATGAAGACACCTCACCAAAAAGTTAAAAAGTCAAAAAAATCAAAAAGTCCTTCCCAAATCAGGTCAGGCTAAAATAATAAAAAAAAGTCAAAAAGTCAAAAAGTCAACCCACTTTCCAAACGGAGGCTAAAACATTTTTGTTTTAAGTGTCAACTAAATACCGAAAAATTAAAACAAGAATATTTTTTCTACATAAAATATTTTATGTTAAAACAAATGAACCTAAATCTCAAATATTTTCCTAAACTATCGCAATTTTATGACTCACATCGAATCTTATCTTCTATGAGGGGCACTAGTTACCATGAAACAGCCTCCTAACCATGAAAACTACAAACAACTGCACCAAAATACCATTAAATTTCATGGGTCCATTAATGCTCATAAAGGCCCAAACTATAGTTACAAAATTGTCCGTCATGGCCTCTATCAACCACAACCAACAACATGACAAAAAATTGAAGAGATTAGTTGTTTAGAGCCACGTCATCTTGCTTAAGTATCACCCAAATATCACATTATTTTAGAACACCTTCAATAGCAGAGTAGTTAAAAATTGTATTAAAATGCGTTAAAAGATATATATGTGAATAAAAATGATACCTAATTTAGTGTGTTAAACGTTAGTTAATTTTGTAATCACCTGAATGTCTAATTATAAGCGTGTTTTGACTCCTATTTTTGTAGATTAAACCAAAAAAATAATTTACAAATTCATAAAACAAGTGGGATTCATTGGAATGAATTAACTCAAAGAGAATGAAAAGAGAGGACGTGCTAAAACACTTCACAGCTAACATCTTTACTAACATTTAACTCATTTGGCAATCACACAAACACTAATAATTCCATTGAAAAAAAAAAATCAAAAAGTGGCTTCCAACTAATAAGTCATGACTACGAGCAACTTTTGCAGCTCCAATGGAAATACTCTTTTAAGTTTGAGTTCACAACATCATTAATGTTGTGTTTGGTTGGAGAATTTGAGAAAGGATTTGAAAAGAAAAAGAAAAAAAGTGTGTAAAATTAGAAAAAATGTAAATACATTTTATTCACATTTCACCTACATTTTTCATTTTTATTTCTAAATCCATCCTCAAATCTCCCAACTAAACACAGCATAAGAGATTACATTGTATCTTTTCACAAATAAAACTCTCATCCTCTAAATTACTGATGTATCAAAAAAAATAAAAAAAATCCTACAATAAAAGTGATATAGTCACCAATATAAGAGATAAACATGGGAACATATTAAACTATGGTAACTAGCACAATAAACTACTAGCTTCTAATGTACCAACAAATCTTATCAATACATTCAAATAATATGAAAAAACTAGTGAGCTGATGAACCAATTGATTCTACTCTGAAATGCCTTCTTATTGTTTGTTTTCTTTTTTGATATGATAAGTGCAACACATTTCATCCTTTTTCAATCATCAAATCCCTTGTTTCTGCATTTTCTTTACCCCATGAAAAAAAAAACATCGAGAAGATTGTACAATCATTATAATTATATCTATAGAAATATTGTATGATACACATCCCTCACGAACCGTGGAGGGTGTTGTGACTTCGTTAGAGTGTTTTTCGAATTTGTTTCGATAATTCAAGTCATTCATATTGTAAGATATCGAGTAGATTATTCATAAAAAAAAAATCAAGTCAATTAGACATATGCAACCTGTAACAAGACCACATTTATGTTTTAAGAAAATAAACAGCTAGCATAATTTTGATAATTTTTTTAAAACAATTATGATCCAATCATGGGGTTACGCATGTCCGATTATCATCATTTTTTACATGAATAATATATTCGATGAGCCGTAAAATATGAATGGTTCGAATCATCAAAATAAAATTGACACAAACCTCAACCAGACCGTCACAAGAGGGTGATGTGACAGCATCCTTCTCTCGTCCCATCCCTTAAAAGGTGTGTATTATATGCATTTTATAATGCATTTTTGTGAAAATATTATGTAATTTTTTTTATGAGTCTTACAATTTGTAATTCAAAAATAAAATTAAGATTTTATAGTAATATTACACAATTTTTTTATCCAAACATTCTTAAAGAGTGTGTAGTATAGCATGACTCGTATCCATGACCTTTTTCTTTTATATTATGAGACGAAGTGGAAGAAGTTTTGTATTGAAATGTAAAATATAAATTGCTATCTAATTTTAATTCAATTGGCTTACGATAACATCCATCTACCAGGTGCAACACGTGTGATTTTTTACTAGTATAAAAATATTAACATATATTAAACTAATACATTAATAACACATTCGATAATATCTAAGTTTTCTTACCATGTTGATTATAAAATAAATAATAATAAAAAAATGCATGCTCAATAAAACCTAGAAAAATTAGTTAAAAAAGGACATGAACTACACAAAAAGTGTCGAAGTAATCTTTAATTTTCCTCAACCCATCCCTGCCGTAACCAATATGCAAAATTTCAAAAGAATGACTTTTTTTAGCTTTTTTTTTTTTTGGCTTATTTTCATTTTTTAAAAATTTGTTAAAATTTTTTTAGGTTTATAGATTCAATTCGACAAAAGGAATTGAAAAATCATATAATTTTTTTAAAAAAATCCAAAAAACATTTAAAAAAGACAAAAATAAATCAAAATAAGCAATTTTTTTGAGCTTATTTTCATCTTTAGTGATTTTTTTTGGAATTTTGCATAAAAAATATGTTTTTTAAATTTATCTCGACAAGATGGATCAAAAAAAAAAATTGACATAATTTAAAAAAAAAAATATCAAAGACAAAAAAAATTCGCAAAAAATGTAATTTTTTTTCTTGGATGCCAAAATGGGCAGTTTGGTTTGGTGACAGAATTGTTGTTTGCCACTTTTACTTTACATTCTCTCTCACTCTCTCTCTCTCTCTCTATAATTTCCCACTCAAATCAAACCTCTTTTCCAAAACTATTTTCAAAACTCTTTACCAAACAAATTTTCTACACTCAAATCATAATTCCACAACACACAAACTCAAAATACAACTCATACTCTCAAATCACATTTACAAAACTCTACCAAACACTACCGTAATTTTTTTTCTTGGATGCCAAAATGGGCAGTTTGGTTTGGTGACAGAATTGTTGTTTGCACTTTTACTTTACATTCTCTCTCACTGTCTCTCTCTCTCTCTCTAAAAGCAAGACACATACGGAGGGAGAAGCGAAGCAGGTGACACCCGGGGGTTCCATTTAACCACGTCCACTCTTCCTGATCTTATCGTGCGCCGCGCTAAACTTTTAACACTAGGCAACGCGACAATATACGAAGCTTGTACGGACTCCACCCGTCTTCTTCCCACCGAGTCTTCTTTGGTCTGACCGATCCGATCACCAAAACCCTAGAATGCTTTCCTCCTCCTCCGATTCTGCAGATAGAAAGCCAGAATCAAATCAAACATAGAGGAAACTTAGAGACTAAGACTTGACTTTTAGAGAGAGAAGAAGAAGAAGAAGAAGAGCGATCAGATGATGCAGAGACAGAGCCCTCCGAAGCACCGACACGATGGCACTTCGCCCTTGCCTTTGGGCATGGATTGGAGCCCTCCGCCTCGGAAATGGGTCAGTCTTTGTTTTTTTTGATTTTCGTTGAATTAGAATTAGAATTTCATTTGTATGTTATTCAATGAGATTCGAAATTGAGTTCATTGATCAGTTTTAGTATCTGCCTTCGCTGTTAATTAATCAATTTGTGTTGATACGATGATCAGTTTGTGCATGATCTTGAAATTTGACTTGGTAGATAGATGCCATTGGCTTGGTGAATTAACCTACGTGTTGTACGGTGATGATTGCGGTTTTGTATTATTTAAAGTTCATAGTATAATTGTCAAGTTTCATATTTTGTGTAAGTACTTCAATCATCGAGTGGATTGTATTGAGTTTGAATTTGAAGTGAAGCTGAAAACATACGGCTATACTTAAGGGAAGTGTTTTCCTTTTTAGTCTTAGATTTTTAGTGAAGGGCAGATGCATCTCCTTAAATGGTTGATTTATTTTTAGGGCCCATTTGCTTGTGCGAATTGCCTCGTTTCATAATTTGCTCCATTTTAAATTAATCTAATCCAGAATTTGTGATTTTTAAATGATTTAATTCAAATTTTCATAGGCATTCATCTAAGATAATAGATTTGAATCTCCTCATTTTGAACTTTGATAATAATTCTATGTTTAGAAGAAATGACCATTTGTAGATTTTTTGAGTTGTTTATGTAACCCAACACATATAATTATCTAATATTAAAAAAAAAACAACGCTCAATTAGTACACATTAATATATGTTTGGGAGAGAAAAAATTTGGTACACACCTAATTGTCTAATAAATGGGCAAATTTTAGAAGATGACATTTGCACATTCTATTCTGTGATGCCATTGTGAGTGAATTTTGCATGAGTTATAAACAATGAATTACTTTCCCGAGTATCACATCTGGTGTGTGTAAAATTCGTAATGAATACACTAACACTACTACAATTTTCAAAAACCCATGCATGACATATTTAAGTTCATTTCAGTTAAAGACCCCATTCCCCAATTCAAGAACTCTAGCTCCAGCTCTACGGGGATTTCATCCTAGGGAATTCCAAGAACAATTCAATAAAAGTGTTACACAAAATCATAATTAGTAAATGAAAAAAAACATTAGTATATATGTGCATGAAATTATGAATACAATAGGAAAACTTTCCATAAAAAAAATTGTTGTTTGAATTCATATCAAGTGTACAATGATGGTAAATATGTCTTTGACTATTCCTCTGAACCTACAATAATACTTAATTAAAATGCAATGAACAACCCCTTGGCCATAACAAATATTTAAAACACAAACCCAAAATTTTGTTAGAAGAAGAGAAATGTAGAGAAATCTCTACTAAGGCCTTGTTTGGGATACACATTTTTTAGCCTAATAGTTAAAAAGTTACTAAAAAAACTAAAAAGCCTATAACCTATACCAAAAAGTCAGATTTTCTTTTCTCTCTACTTTTTGCACATCTTTTCATAAAAAATAAAAAAGTCATTCCAAACATTCTAGTTTTTTTTTTTACCTCATATTTTAGTCAAAAAACCAAAAAGTTACTAAAATAGTTTGTTCCTAAACGAGGCCTAAGAATGTTTTTTTTGATGGAATATGCTAACACTAGATGTAATACCATATGTGAGAGTTTTAGGGGCTATATTCATTTTGAATTCATCTCACTCCTTTGGTCCTTTTGTTCTAGTTATAAAGTGGAGTATTGTTTTAAGAGTTTTGCTACAATAACTAGATGGATGTTGAGCTACAACTTTGTCCATTAAAGTATAAAGTTATCAAACTCCCAATGTCACAACATGCAAGTTTAAAATACATATCAAAGATTTCCTTAAAAAATATATACACCAAAACATGAATGGTGAAATGTCAGCTGTTATAAAATTAAGCTAGTTGTAAGGTCTTTGCTATATACCATGCAAAAACTTCTCCAAGATCAAGGTGGGCCAGGGAAAATGATATTGGTTATAATGTAGAAGAGCAAGTTCAGTGCGCTATAGACTACACAAGGCTTTCCAAAGATCATGGTACGCTCCCCTGCATGCAGTAAGGGGAGGCAATAAAATATTTGAGTGAAGGAATAATGTTAGGGAGAGAATGTCTTTTAGAGATATTCTTTTAGAGTAGAGTAATGATTTCATAACAATATGAATCCTTGTTGACTTCGCCAATTATGCTAGTTTTAAAATTTTTGAATAATTGCACAGAACTATAAACCGTTTAAACTCATATACTTACCTACTCATTTGAGGATTGGCATGTTTTAGGAACGTGAGTGATGTATAATAATGTAGGGGAGAGGGGAGCAAAACACAAAATTGGCCACAACCTAAATCACTTAATTTTAACCAAACTGAATATTACAATGGCAAAAATTTAATATTTATGAACCAAAACCCTAATTAGGAAAATTTTAGATTAACCCTAATTAGGAAAATTTTAGATTAACCCTAATTAGGAAATTAGATCCTAGCATTATTTGGAAACATAATGAAATATCTTGAGCAATTATTTAGGAGTGTGTGTGATGTACAATAATGTAGGGGAGAAGAAGAACACAATTTAGCCACATACTAAATCTCTCAATATTATCATAATCGAAATTGAATATTAGTATGCCAAAAATTTAATATTTGTTGGCCAAAGCTCTAATTAAATTAGGAAACTAGATCCTACCATTATTTTGAAACATAATCAAATATCCTAAGCATTATAAATAAAATAAAAAATCAAATATCCTAAGCAATTATTTGTTTAAATCCTAGCTAAATAATGCTAATAATAAAAATAGAAATAATTTGGTTGGCATGGATTGTGGAAAAGATTATAGGTTGCATTTTAAAAATTAAGAAGGTTGTGCACTTTTTGGATTTTGAGGATTGGAATGTTTTAGGAGTGTGAGTGATATAGAATAATGTAGGGGAGATGGGAGAAGAACACAAGATTGGCCACAATTTAAATCTCTCAAAATTATTATAACTAAAATGGTATATTGCAATGGCTAAAATCTAATATTTATAAACCAAAACCCTAATTAGGAAATTAGATCCTAACATTATTTGGAAACATAATGAAATATCCTGAGCAATTTATTTAAATCCTAGCTAACTAATACTAATAATAAAAATAGAAATCTACCAATTGCATTTAATGGACCCACAAGCTTCACCCTAAGCTTCCAAAGTGGATAATAGACCTCCAAATAGTTACGGGCTGTGCCATTAGTGAGGTTGTTGTAAATGCTGGACAACAACTATGTTGGGTGGAGGGCATTGAACTAAATCCATGAAGCTTTGAAAAGGATTGGGATTACAAACTTGGGTGTTGGGATACAAATTTTAAGAAGTTAAGGGTGATTATGATTGGAATCATGAATTTTGGTTGTGGGCCATTGTTGTTATACGAGTTTCAACCAAAATGATTTGAAGCGTATTGTTGTATTAGAAAATTAAGTGAATCGTGCTATTGAATTTGCGATTCATTGTGATTTGGTTCAATTTTTTATTGTTTACATAATGCATTAAATGCCGTTGTTTTTGCCTATTTATCAAGAAATATAAAAGAAATAATTAGTTAAACTAATATACATAATTATATATACATATATAATTTAGTAATATTGATATTTACTTCATTTTAGACATTATGTACATATATAAAATTATATATTATATTAAATAAAATGAATCTTACAATTGACAATTTGATACAATTCCCAATTGATTATTTTATTAAACTGATTCATGATTTGATAACAATGTGTGGTATTAAATTTAGAAGATTATCAAGAAAGATTTCGAAGATTCTTTCTCTCTTGAGAAGGTTCACCAAGGTATTAAATTTATGAGGAGTGCATAGCAAATTGAAGAAAAGAGAGGAGTGAAGCATGTCTAGAAAAGGAAAATTTTGGCGCCAAGGCAAATGATTAAGTTTTTGATTGTTTTAGCAAACTCTTTACTGTGGTAGCCAAGCTACATAACCCTAGGAGTCCAATGGTCACGACACTTGAAGGCGTGCCATGTGGTATAAACATCCGCAATCAAGCATCAAGTTGGTCAATTGTCCTAGGTGTTACTCCTAGCTTAGGTATAAGATGGGAGATGCGATAGTCATACACTCAATTGAGCTTCCAACAAGTGCCTCATATATCATGATAGTCTCTATATCATTTTTTGTGGGCTAAGGCATGGTTCACTTTAGTCTCATGCTTAACCAATGGTTTTTAACCTAACTAGCAACTTTAAAGGTACATATGCCCATCTGTATGAGGTTCACCCGTCGCACATGTTGGTTGACATGTGGCTACTCCTGATGACTGGTAAGTGTCACATAACAATGTGAGAACATCCATTTGAGTAAACCACCCTACATAATGGTGCCTTCTTACATAGTGTTGTTTGATACTCCTAATTGTTGAATTGCTAAACCAAAATATTGGTTTTTGACTTAGCAAGTCTTAATCCTAATTAGTTAGTGTCAGCTATATGGATCTAGTTTGCCCAACTGTTATCTTTAGACAAATCCAAGTCAGTCATATTCATAACCCCTATCTTCGCCTTAACTCAGCCCTTTGTGGCTTTACTTGTCGTTTTGTCATCTTTCACTTGGATAATATCCCTCCATTTTAGCTGTGTAATAGTTAGTCTACATTGCATATGGCCAAACCATCTCAAATGACTTTTCCTCATGTTATTTTCATTTGGTACCTTTTCTAACTTTCCCACTAGTCATTTGGTTCTTTTCCTATCTTTTTATGGTGACTCAGATGTCTCAACATTGTAATTTTAGTTTCACTTCTTTTTTTTTAAAAATGTGTAGTGTTGTTACTGCCCATCTTTTTGTATCATACAACATTCTTGGGCTTATAGTTTTATAAATTTTTTCTTTTGGCTTAGGTGGAATCTTATTACACAACGCTCATTAGGTATATTTCCATTTCATCTATCTAGCTATTAGATTGTAGGCCACCTAAACCCCAATGTCCCCTTCCTATGAAGAATCGATCCAAGGTATGGGAATTGGTCATCTTAGTTATCTGTTGATTATATCTTCAAGAATCAAGTGAACTTAGTCAAGTCCGGTGTTCAAATTCGACTTGGCAAGCTCATGAGCAATTGTGGCAGCTGGGCAACATGTCCATGAAATTGAAGAAACTAATTTTCCATGTAAAAGATAGTGGTTATTTTCCTTATCATGTGTTTCCTTTATTATTCTTTTTCTATTTTCATTTGTGGGATTGCTAGAACTTGGCATTTTTTGGATCGAAGTAAAGCCAAACTATTTGATACCATGCAAGGTGAAATGGGCACACCTGAGTGTTAGTTACTAAACTACTATACATGAAACATGATATATGGTATAGCTCTGCATAAGTTGAGTTGAGTTTCTACATGAAGCAAACAGTCGAGTTTCTGTCTAAAAACAATAAAAAATGAAAAACAACAAATTTTATTTGTCAATTAAAGAAACAAATATGTGTCATATAAAATATTTATCGGGATAGGAAAAATCTAGGTAAATATTTTTTCAGTGACAAAATTTGAGAAAAGGTTAATTTTGGTGTTATCTTTGAATATATAATGTAGTGATATCATTTTTTCAATTTTTTCTTCTGTCTACTTTTCTTGGAAAGTATCATAACCTGTCAACCAAATTAAGAAAATAGATGGAAGAGTCATAGTATTCATATAAGTACTCTTAACAATATTGACTAAAAAGGTGGCTAATTTTTTGGGGGGAAATAACCTACCAGTGGTGGTTAGAAGAAGCAATTACAAAAAAGTGATAAACATTAAAAATGTTAATAATTAAGATTATAAATTTTTTCATTAATGTGTAATAATTTTTAATGATTACCACCGAATGGTAATTTCCCCATTTTTTAGTTCAAGAAATCAAAGTATTGTCATAAAAGCATGTTTGGTCATTTACCTAGTAAACCCATGGCAAAATGGAATCAAAAAGGAGGAAGAAATTGTTGGGTGAAGTAAGCCTAGCTGTGGTCTATGCAATTGATCACTGGTTTTACTTTTACTATCAATAATAGTAGCTCCACACAATTAGTACAAAAATGATTTTTAAATTAATTTCACCTAGAAATGGAGAATCATTCTTTACTTATTTCTGCACTGCATGTTTCTAGAATTAAGCTTAAAGAGTGTACCTTGGAATGCAGCTCATCTAGAGTGTTTGTCTTGTCCTATGTTAGATTGTCTCAAATACTTTTCAATGTGGTTCTCTTCTAGTTCTCATTTATGGCATCAGTCTACATCCATCCAAATTCTTCATTCAAAACGTACCTAGACTACTAATACTCTGACTCGTTTCTCTTTTATATCACTCTATTGTGCCCGAGTGCAGATCTTTGGTTCTCAGTAATGTTGTTTGATTGACTGAGCAAATAGATGTGATCCCACTTTTTGCTTAATAAATGTTTAATCATTGTGCTTTCTTGTAGTTACGCTTATTTGTTGTTAATTCTTATTCATAAGATTTATGTTCTTTGTAGAATGGGCGGGACACCGTTTGGCCGCATGATTCTGGCACGGGATGGAGTTACTGTGTCACAATTCCTTCATGGGTTGTCCGTCCGAAAACAAGAGATTCAGAGCCTGTTGTGGTACTCAAATTGAATGACTCTCCCATGTTTATCTATATGAAGGGTTAGATGTTGTTTTATACTATCATTTGGACACTTCCAAGATGCAGCGATGACGTATTTTGTTTTACATATTTTTGTTGGATTTTCGGTTGCCAGTTTTGTTCTTTCCAAATTTAAGTAATTTTTGGCATCAATTAGTAACAAACAGGACAGAAATAATTATATCTATGTTACCATTTTTTTCTTTGTCTACTTTGTTGTTATAGTGGCATCAAAATCAAAGGTATTTATTCCTTGTTCTGATATTTCATTCTTCAACCATGAATGCAACACAATTTATCGTTAGATTATTCATTGGGGAATTCCAAATGAAAGAAAAAATTTCAGTTATGTTTTGTTTGACGCTCCACTCCATTTTTTAGTGTTGTGTATTCTTCTGTTTGCAAACCAATGACATTATGGGGATAAGATTTGGGGGCAGGAGGCAATATTTTTTCTCATAGGCTAAGGGGATCTTTTCAGTTGTTTCCATCATGTAGCTGTTCTAGGGTAATGGAGTATTTTCATCTTTTATTGTTTAAGTGGAAATTTCCAACAATTCCCTCTTTTCGTTTCTTTTCTCAACCCCTTTTTTTTTCCCCCCCCCCCCCCCCTCTCTCTCTCAATCTTCTTCTGATGACTAAAATTTAATTCTGTTTCTACGTTGTTTAAGGTTTAACCCAAATTGAAAGGTTTTACACCTTGAATATTTGCTTGTCCTCCATGTTGAGGTTGATGGTGATTAACAGCAGAAGCTTCAAGTTTTCATACGTATACCATATATACACATACTTGTCTTTATTTTTTCCAGGGGAGGGGGATGAGAAGGGGGGCTGGACAAGATGTTTTTAAGGCTCATGCCTTCTAATGATGTTGGATTTGCTTGGACTTTGCTCTGTCAATTTAAGTTGGACCTAACTGTTGCTTCTCTTCTTAGGGTTTGATGCTTTCTAGTTTGGCTTTAATTTACTTTTATTGAGCTCCATCAAGTGAGTGTTATTTTTGGAAATCTGTGGGTCTGGGCTGTAACAGTTGTATATAGGTCCTGATAGATGGCACAGTTGTCTGAGCTTTTGGTTTGACAGGTCAAAGTTTTATAGTTTGAATGTTTTGGTTTTTTGTGTGTTAGTCAATTACATTGCAGAGACAACCAATAGTCGCTTTTTGTTTTCTATGATAGAGGATAGCTTATGGAAGCTTTAGGTAGCGATTGAAGCTTTTTAGGAATTTGTAATGCAATACTTTACAATGAGTGTGATTCCATAAGGGCTTTTAATTTTGGTCATGCCTAAATCTCTCTTTTTTTTCTGAATTTTCTTCCTGTAATAATATCTTTGACTGATGTGCTCAGTGATCAACCCACCATCAGCCTCGATCTTCTCTTTGCTATAATTAAATTAGAGCACTAAAATCTTACTTCTAATTTTTCGGCATCCTAACCTTTCTTCTTTGTTGTGACAGCTATTACTCCTAACACAATATGCATAAACATTGTTGTTGTCCCATTTAGGTGGGTATTGGGGGTACTCAGTCCGACAGTTGAGTGTTTTTTAGATTTTGTAGAGAATGTATGGTTTCCCTATGGGTTTTTGCTTTGATATACTTGTGGGGACATATACAGGTGGCATTCCCTTTTAATGCTATTCAATAAATCATCAAAGGAAAAATTGTAAAAATAAAAACCAAACCCTACACCCTAAGCTGCCGTGAACTTTGAATGACCTTTGGTGATTGAAGAGAGCACTCTGATATTTATTTTATGCTAGCCTATATGAAGTTTTCTATTAGCGCCAAACTGGCATCATGCCATCATGTTAAGGAAGAGTGTTTTGCTAGAAATTGCTTTTTGAGGGAGGAAAGACCCTCTTTCAAATTATGGGGACGATTTTATGTGTTAGCTCTGAGTTAAATGGCACGGACTCAAATGTATCAATAGTTTTTGGAGAAGTACTTGCATATGGCAGATGCAGTTAATTACGAGAAGAATACAAGTAAAAAGAACGCTAGGTTAATCAATTGCCAAACTCTGCCTAATGTGTGAGTTAAGGGCTGAGGCTGAGCAAGCCTGTGAAATCCCAAAATAGTTGTTCGTACCTTTGTAGAGTAGAAACTTGGTAGAGAGAAAAATATGTGGGACCATGTCAATGTGACATAGCTATGGAGAATATTAAAAAAGTTAGGTTGGAGGTGCTGAACTTTCCAAGTTAAGGTTGATTTTATAATTTTATGAAATGCCTTACTGGATTGCTTTGTACTTGGATTGATATGACATGATTACTAATAGGAACATCCTTATACTGGTAAGTGTAAATATAGAAAGCACTTCTTAAAGTGTCCATGTTCTGTACTCTTTAGCTTTATTCCGTTCTCAGGGAAAGGGCCAATGCAAACGAGGTAAAAATAATGCTGGAGTGGTAACTTTTAAAACCTTTTTGGAGGTTTGGAGTCTTCATGGATGACCAAATGCAACTGATATCATCAGTATCTGAGGGTGCTACTGTAGTTCAATGGTTGGCATTGAAGCATCTAGAATGAGGACTGCTGCCTGTTCTTTAATATATTAGGCGTAGATGGTAATTTTGATAAGTGGATGACCAAGTCTGGTTTACAGGATCATTTAATTTTAGTAGTCATGGATTCTATTTAAGCTGAGTTATTGCCTAATTAGTGTTACTTAGGACTGAAGTAACCTAACTAACAGGCCCAGTAATCTATAATATATATCTATCCTCTATGATAGAGGATTTAGGGAAGTTGCTGATGAATGAGAGTTTTTGATTTGGTAAATCTTGAAGTAGTTTTTTTTGGTCCTAGGGCTCAGTTTGAACCCAATACTCTGTGGGATTGAGCCCTTATGCCGGAATTTGCAGATTTGTGACAAAAAATCAATTTTGTAAATTTTTCGGCCTTGGTCCAAGTGTTTTGGGTTTCAAATATACTCATAGCAACCCCAAGCTACATTATTGTGGATTTTGGCAGTACAAGACTCTTTAACAATTGCTAAAGAGATGGTTCAATTTATTGGTTTAAAAGGCATCAAAATTGTCTTAAGAAGTTAAGAAGGTTACGTTGAATGGATTTTTTGCTTTTCTAATTGACATGTTGAATGCCTTGGCTCACGTTGCTCTTAATAGGGAGGTAGTTGTGAGTGACTCTCTTAAAATGGATGGTGGAATCTTTTTTGGGACATTGCCCTTTAGAGAGAGCTTAATGATTGGGAGATGGAGGAGTTGATGGATCTCCTTGGGCGCTTGTATACCACTCGTGTTGGTGATGGACGTGATCCACTTCTGGCTAGTTTCATGTGAAGTCTTTTTATGAGGTCCTTGTGGGTCATAGACTTATAGGGAGTCTTGCTTTCCTCGGAAAGGGGTGTGGGGCACAAAGCCCCATCTATGGTGTCCTTTTTTGTTTGGTGTGCAACACTTTGCAAGATCCTTACTATTGATAATTTGATTTGGAGGAGGTAAATGCATGTTAATTGCTGTTGCTTTGTGCAAGTATGGGAGGAAACAGTAAGCTATCTTCTTATCCATTGTGAGCTGGGATAGGAGCTTTGGCGTTTGCTACTTCTTATGATTGGAGTTGACTGAGTATTCCCTTGGAAGGTCGGGGAGCTTCTTTACACCTAAGGAGGAGCTCGGGTGGGGAGGAGGAGGAAGGAATGATGTTTGGGGCAAACAAAGATTTTTTGTTGAAAAGGAAGAGCATATTTTGAGAATCAAGAGTAGATTATTGTCCTTTTTGTAAAGTTGGTTTTTGGGGATGGTGAATCCATCCTTGAACCATTTGTTGGATTTTGTTGAGACCTTTGAATAGGTTTTTGATGTAGAGGTGATACATGTTTCTTTTGTATACATGGGTGCCTTCCCCTTGGTGCCACTTTCAATAATATTTCTTTATACTGATTTAAAAAAAGTGATTTTAGATGTTGCTTTTGGGGGCATTCTTAGTGTCAGCACAACCCATGTATTTCATGGGAAGCCAAATGAAGCGAAGGAAAATACTTGGGTAGGAAGCTCTATGTCTCTGTTCAATCACTTCACTAGTTATGCCTTTCTCTTACTTGAAATGCGTTTAGTCCAAAGCAAAGGCTACTGATTTAAAAAAAGTGATTTTAGAAGTTGCTTTTGGGGGCATTCTTAGTGTCAACGCCTAGCTATGTATTTCATGTGAAGCCAAATGAAGCCAAGGAAAATACTTGGGTAGGAAGCTCTATGTCGTTGTTCAATCACTTCGCTAGTTATGCGTTTATCTTACTTGAAGTACGTTTAGTCCAAAGCAAAGGTTACTGATTTTAAAAAAGTGATTTTAGATGTTGCTTTTGGGGGCATTCTTAGGCCTCGTTTGGGAACAGGCTAATTTAGTAACTTTTTTGGCTATTTGGCTAAAATATGAGCTAAAAAAAACTTGTATGTTTGGGATGACTTTTTGGCTTTTTACGAAAAGATGTGCAAAAAATAGAGAGAAAAGAGAATCTTTGACTTTTTGGTATGGGTTGTTGGCTTTTTGGCTTTTTCAGTAACTTTTTGACTTTTTGGCTAAACCGGCTTGTTGCCAAACGAGGCCTTAGTGTCAACACCTAGTTATGTATTTCATGTGAAGCCAAATGAAGCCAAGGAAAATACTTGGGTAGGAAGCTCTATATTGCTGTTCAATCACTTCGCTAGTTATGCCTTTCTCTTACTTGAAATACGTTTAGTTCAAAGCAAAGGTTACTATACAATAATTTTGGGTAATGCACTTAGCTGAATGGTAATATTTTTCTTCTCTTAAATATGGCTAAATCGATGACTATATAACTATATTTGGTAAAATTGGTATTTGTTAATTTTCAATGCTACTGTCTATAATCTGACTGTATTTCCTGTACATAGTCTAACAGCTTCGGGTATCTTTTGTTTTAACATTCTTAAGGCACAGTTTTACAGGGTTCAGGTTGGCATTCAATCACCAGAAGGGATTACAACTACACGAGGACTATTAAGAAGATATAATGATTTTCTAAAGTTATATACTGTAGTAAGTCTTTGATGCTTTTTTTTGGGTAGTCAATGAGGATTGTACCCATGAGTCTGCTCCAAAGCAGTCCCCAGCTGAAATTTTTTTCAAAAAACAAGTCTATGATACTGTATTAATATGATTGCTATTCAAAAATACTTGGGAACATTTAAACAACGTATCTTTTCATGGGTAATTGTTCAAAAGGACAAGGTTTTTTTTTTTCATTTAAATAATTAAATTGACTTCAGGATATTGTTGTGTTCTTATTACTTGCTTGTGCAGTCTAAAAAGGCATTTCCTAAGAAGAATCTCCCGCCAGCTCCACCCAAGGGACTCTTGCGAATAAAAAGCAGGGCATTGTTGGAAGAGGTAGCTGGCATACTTGTTATGTTTTCTAGTATAATTATAGTATGTGTTGATGGACCTGTAGGATGGCTTCTTCTAGTAATAATGAGGCTTTTTTGCTAGCTTTATTCCTGCTTTCAACAACATCCTCTTTTCCTGCTTTGGAGTTCTGAATTTTTCAGTCCAGTGTAGTTTGAAGAATATGCTTTTATTTTGTGTAAATCATTAGCGTAAGATTCCCATGTCTCACTCTAAGTTGAACTGATTTCCAGTGAATGGAAAGTCTAAATCCATACACTTGTGCAATATATATATCTTTTTAATGAGGTTAATTTTATTTATTTTTATCGCAGTGAGTGAACCTTGTCTGGTAAACTGAAATGCTACAGTTGCAGTTTTATGTCAATGATTAAGATTCTCAAAAAGCTTGAATTTGTTGCAGCGGCGGAGCTCTCTGGAGGAGTGGATGACGAGGTTACTATCTGACATTGATTTGTCAAGAAGTGTCGCGGTGGCATCGTTCCTTGAACTAGAAGTTGCTGCAAGAACTTGTATGAGTTTCTAGTTCTCTACTGAACCACGTTTGCTTTTGAAAATCATTTCATTTACTTAATACATATGTAACTCTGATTGAATTTAATTTAGAAGATATTGAATTTTGCTTCTAATATTCTTTTTTTGTTTTTTCTGGGCATTATCTCAGTTTTGACATTTGGTTCTGCATTACTATTCTTTTCAGCATTCCAAGATGAAAACCAAAGCACTTCAGAAACAAATGCTTCAGCAAATAGCACAGCTTCTCCACTTCACGTTCATCCTAATTCAAGCCTCTCTGTCATTGCTGGTAGTACATCACTCACATCAGAGAATGGTAGTGATACTCCTTATGAAACATCTGAAATTGGAACACCAAGCCTAGGAAGGGATAACAGTTCTGAAGGCGGTACAGAGGATTTGTCATTGGATGAAGATTTGACTAGTCCCATAGAAAAGCTTGTGAAGTATGGTATGTCCAACATTGACGAAGGCTTATTTATGGGACAGGCTATTTTGGAACAGCTCGAAGGTTTACCTAGGCATACATTGCATGCCAGAGAGATTAACAATGTCGTAGGGAATAATTTAGATAATGGAAATGCTTCTAAAGCTGCTTATCATGCTGACAATTGGATTGAACATTTCTCTGAACCAGAACATGGTAAGGTAATTGGTCATGCTCGAAAGCTCTCCAATGAAAGTGTTGGAAGCGACATAAATTCTTTAAGAGGTGGTGAATTCTCAAATTCAGGGTTTAAAAATTCATTTGTGGAGGGTCCCCTTGACCATCTTGGAGGTCCTGAGATTTCAAGAACCATGGAAGGTCTTGGCAACACAGACTTTCAGTCAAGTGATGTACAATTAGTTCTTCCAGTGGATCAACGCTACAAAATGAACAGGGTTCTTATGACCATGCAGCGTAGACTGATCACCGCTAAAACAGACATGGAGGATCTTATATCGAGATTAAATCAAGAAATAACGGTGAAAGATTATCTTGCAACAAAGGTACAGCAGGAGTACATCAACGTTGCTCACCCTTATTTTAACTGTCATTTCAGATTAATTCAATGTTGTTCGGAGAGATTCCAATGATCATAATGATGTTCATGATGATTTCATCACTGCAGGTCAAGGATTTGGAGGGGGAACTTGAAACCACTAAACAGAAAAGTAAAGAAAACCTTCAGCAAGCTATTTTGATTGAAAGACAGTTTCCCCAGTCACTCAAATGCAGTGGGATATGGAGGAACTTCGGCGGAAGTCATTTGAAATGGAGTTAAAACTGAAGTCACAACAGGTTGTGTATCTTTTACTCGCTTGCCTTCCATATTATTGTTTTCTCCTTAATCAGTTGCAGTGATGATTCGATGATTGCTATGTTGAATGTTTCTAGGATGAGAAGTTAGATACAGAACCAACAAATGTTTCTGTCACTCGGGAGAAAAGTTTGTTGCAAGAGTTGGATGTGACCAAAATGCAGCTTGACGATTTATTGAAACGACATGAAGAGCTAGAAGTTAAATCAAAAGCAGATATTAAAGTTCTTGTCAAAGAGGTTAAATCTCTCAGAAGTTCTCAAGCAGAATTAAAGAAGGAGCTTAGTCAATCACAGAAGGAAAAATCTGAGGCTGAGGTATTATATGTAGTTAAACTTTTACCAAGTGTCAATAAATAAGGGGATGTGAAAGTCAAGGAATGTAAATGCAAATTCAGGTACTTTGTTGGTTGTAAAATTATAATTATGGCGCGATGAAACGAAGGGACGCATCTTGGAAGGCCACACCTAGTCAGAAAAATAGGATAAGCCCTATGCGTAGTTACTCAAAATATTGACTATTATATTATACTAATTATTGTCTCTGTTCTATGAACTTTTCTATTATTCACTTTGGCAAACACAGTAGAGAATCAAAATTTCATTTATATACTTTTGATCATCTTCTTTTAGTTCCATTTCATGGTTAAACTTCATAAAAAGGTAATTTATGTTGTGTTCTTGAAATTCGGTTTTAATTTCAGAGACTTCTTCAACTGGAGAAAAAAGAGTGTGGGAAACATGCAAAAACTGCTAGGCAAAAGCTCCTTCATGAATGTGAGGTCCTTCGCAACAGGCTTCAGGAGTGCAGCATTAATTTCCTTGATGAAAATGGAGATAGATTAGTTGTGGATTCCTCATCAATATCAGATGCCTTGGACCTCCTGGTCACATCTGACAACCAAATTGGCGTCCTCCTTGCAGAGGTACCTTTTGCATCGTCCACTCTTGTATTTTCTGTTTGTCACCTTGATTTTGGCATTTTATTTTCTCATTTATGTGACACTATCCAATGCTCTTTTTGTTAGAAAAACCTTGAAGTTGGTTTTTGTCTTTTAGGTAGCTTTATATCAAAGAGAAACTCCAGTGTTTCATTTCTTCTTGTTTCCTTGGATCTTTCTATTTATTCAGTGTCATGATCGCATTGCTTTGGAAGCCTTTTTTCGATTGTGGACATTACAACAACCTAGCCCTATGACTCAACTCAACAAGGCTTTGTCCCAATGACTTTGGGTCAGCTAACATGGATCAATTTTCTCCAGTTAGTTATATTTTAAGTCATATCCTCAGTTAAGTTTAAGGCAGTCATGTTCTTCATTATCACCTAAACCCATGTTTCCTTGGCCTTCCTCCAGTGTTATTTAAGGTGAAAAGCGAACTAAGGCGACAAGGCCTCCTAAGGACTAAGTGTGGTAGGCATGGCGATAGCTTCATTGAAGCGTGGTGAATTCCTAAGTATAAAAAATAAAAATAAAAACACTTACCATATGCAAAAACCCAATACTTCCAAAAACGATGTTGCATTAAACATTTGAAATACTGAATATCCATAGAAACATAAATCATGCAATAAAATCCATCATTCCAAATGCCAATATTCAACAAAAACTAACATTTTAACCCTTGGAAATATGAAAAAGCAAAAGAATTCATTAACACCATTGTTTCATACCCAGTAGTGGGCACAATATAAGTTGCTTACCCAAAGTGAAGGAAAAAGTTCTTTGCATCAAAATTAAAAAGTAAAAAGAAAAAGATGCAACACATAGTCAAACTTTGATTTTTTTTTTTTTTGGATTAGTAACTAGTTATATGCTTCAATTTTGTGTGCATACGTACTACATCATGTGTTTATTGCAACTCAAAAAATGGATGGTTGAGACCAAATAATAAAAGGGAAAAAAAAACCCACCACTTTGAGAGCCTCGCCTTGCTTCTCACCTAAGCCTTTGCATAGGCGCATTCAAAACATTGCCTTTTTCTATTTCTTTTACCACTCTCTATGAAGACTAAATCACTCCTTATAGGCGCATTAATTGGTCTATGATGCACAATTCATGCCATCTCAAACAGTTTCCCCTGAGTTGTCTGCAATTGGTGCCACTTGTAACATTTTCATAATGTCTGTCTGTCTTTTCTTCTTAACATCATTCATCCATCTCAACATTCTCACTTCAGCTACACTCATTTAATCTTAACAACGAAGTCACATGTTGGTTCTTATTTCTTTCTGTTGGGCTTTGAGGCATCCTTCCCCTGCAGAACAAAGAAAAGAATCTTCAAATAGCATGAGCCTTGGGGAAACCATATAGGTGGTAAGATCCTGCATCTCAAAGGTTCTACACATTTTTATGAACTTGGACAGGGTCGCCAAGGAGTCTAGGATAACCGAAGTGCATTACTTTAGAATTCCACTTGGTGCTTGGCTATTTACCAAGTACAGAATGCCTACAATCGTAAGCAAAAAGCATGAACTGTTCAACCACCAAAGTTACCATATATGAACTATAATAAGGAAAGTTAATGTGTATGCATGTGCCAGTCTAAACATGTTAGTAACTGTAAAAGGCTTAATGCTTTCAAATCCCTATTCTTATTGAAGAGAAATGTTGAGAATATAATATAAATAGTGAAGTTGCCCCTCTCTCTAGCAGGTTAAGATTTTAGATGAGTTGATGGTTAGCAATCTAATATGGTATCAAAGTAGACAATAGATCCTATGTTCGAAACTCATCGCCTACCCAATAATCAAAAAATACTTGCACGCGTTTTGCCCGCTTATGGTGGAGAGCCGGCCACATGTGAGGGGGTGTGTTGAGTACATAATATAATAAAGTTGCTCCTCTCTAACAACTTAAGCTTTTAAGTTTTAGATGAGTTGGTGGTTAACAATCTAATAAGAAAGAATGAGGAAACCGAAATCTTCCTACTCAAGTAAGAAGTCCAATAGCCTGTATAGTAACTTGACCCCGTTGCTCTGAATCCACCTATGAGTTTGCCATGAAGAGAAAATTTAAAGAATCGAACTGCCAACTCATTGTTTGGAGGTGAATTGTAGAGCACCAAAAGGTGTGGTATCTTATGGACCTAGCAATGGCTTCTCATCTTAAATTGAGATAATTGGAGTTGCGCCAAAAGGAAACCGTTAATATAGATTTTCTTTACTTTAAATCTGGTATGGTATATATTTCATGTGTTTTTTTTTTTCTTTTTTTTTTTTTCCTTTTGTTTTCACTTGCTACTCTAATTAAAGTATAATTGATATGGGATTGATACATTTACTTCGTGGACAATGAAAATGGCAACTGTTTCCCAGGTGGCTACGTGATATATTCTTGGGAAAAAGTTCTGCTGTCATTTGCTTAGTTGTCATAATGCTTAACCCAGGAAATGGTTCTCACTCATCTAATAGTAGGCACTCATATTTAACGAACATTGATCATCTGCATTTTGTTAAGATATAGGGATATTCTATTTCTTGCATCCAGAAAAGAAAATCCCTTTGAAGTCTGTTGATTTTGCTTCTGTTAAAATCTTAGGTCTACTATGAATCCTTGGCAGTAATCTGTGCAAACAAATTTCAACAGAACTGGAAGTAAAGTAATTTTGGCTCACTGTGAAAAAGTTCAACCAACCTCAAAAGAATTCAATCAATTAATGTTGGAAAAGTGAAAACAAATAGATAATGAAAGATGATAGAAAAGCAAAGAATAGAGGAAAGAGGTTTTGATGCAGGACGATTAGGGACAGCCACAACCGTGGGCTTTTGGGGCTGATTTAATTGGACTTTATGGCTGAAATTGCAATAAAAGTATAGGGGCAGGTAGGATTTGTTTAGGGTAATAAATAGGTAAGAGTTTAAGCATGAAAAGATGGGATTTTAGCGCTGTTTAGGGGCTGTTATGAGGCTGTGAACAGTAAACTAAAACAGAAAAAAAAGGATAAAGAAGAGAAGAAGATAGGCCTAGGCATCGCACCTAGATTCCGTTGGCCTCACACCTAAGGTTTGGGTTGCATCACACAAACCCAAAAGATGCTTCAAAAATTCCAAAATTCTTTAAAATATAAACTCTTTTTAAAATCTTAGAAAACATAAATATAATTATATTAGAGTCTTATTTTATAATTATATTTATGTTTTCTAAGATTTTAAACTTTGGAGTTTGATGTGTTAGAGAGGTGATGTGACTTAAATAAGATGATGTGACTTAAATAGGATAGTGACTTTTTGTCTTTTTTCAATCATGCCAAACTTTGCCTAAGTTTAAAATCTTAGAAAACATAAATATAATTATATTAGAGTCTTATTTTATAATTATATTTATGTTTTCTAAGATTTTAAACTTTGGAGTTTATATTTTAAAGAATTTTGAGAGTTTTGAAGCATCTTTTGGGTTTGTGTGATGCAACCCTAACCCTAGGTGCAATGCCTATAGAATCTAGGTACGATGCCTGTAACCTATCTTCTTTTCTTCTTTTGTTTTGTTTTTTTTCCCTTTTCCCCCTATAAAATATCAACACCATTAAATTATACAGTTCCGATTGGTAGCTTGAAAACAAGACGGCTGGAACTGCCCGAGAGTCCAAAACGACGTCGTTTTGGATTTCTTTCTTTTTTTTTTCTCTCTTTCCTCGTTGAAGATGAAGAACACAGAGAAGAGGAAGCTAGGTGTTCATCTTCATCAACGTCATCTTCATCAACACATCATCATCATCAAACACATCATCATCATCAACAGCAACATCTTCATCAACATCATCATCATGACATCTTCATCAACATCATCATCATCCTCATCATCATCAACAACATCATCATCATCAACATCCATCGATTTTGTGAAATCCATATCCACCGATTTCGATGAAATCGATCGATTTCATACCCTGAAAAAAGAAGAAGAAGAAGAAACTCAGTCTCTGGTGGAGCTTTCTCTCTTCTCTCTTCTCTCTTTCTTTTTCTCTTCCTCTCTCTTTCTCTTCCTCTGTTTTCAGAGATCTAATAGGTAAAATAAATAAAAAACACTGCCCAAAACGACGTTGTTTTGGGCAGTCGGGCCATTCGAGTTGAAAGATTTTCGAGCTGCGAATCATTTTTCTAAATTATAAGCATTAAATGGTTTTATAGGACTAGGAGACTTTCTAAACCAACTAGAACAAAAAAAGGAAACTGTTAAAATATCTTTGACTTCTTAAACTAATTTTAGACCAACTAAGAAATATAAATAAAATTAATTAAATAACTTGACCCATAAGACAACCCATAGACGACCCCTACATCCCATGTCAGCAAATATAAAATTACCAAAATACCCCTAAGATTAAAATCCTAGAAAACATAAATATAATTATAAAATAAGACTATAATGGTACTAGAAACTTAATTATAAAAGATTTATGTCACTTACTCTATGAAATCATGCCAATGTCTAAATGTCGTCGTTTCTTTAAATTTAGCCTTCTTTGAGCTTCTTATACTCTGCATCAGGTTTAAGTTTGAGTTGCACCTCTCTAGATCAAGAAGAGTCACACTCCTTAATCTACAATAGAGAAGGTGATTGCACCGTAGCTATTTGGTCCATGGAACCCAGGAGAAGATGTGTCAGATATAATTAATAAATTGTCAAGATTGTTACAATAGAGAAGGTGATTGCACCGTAGCTATTTGGTCACTGGAACCTAGGAAAAGATGTGTCACATATAATTAACAAATTGTCAAGATTGTTTCACGTGTACTTTGGACAAATCCAATACATTACCATATATAACTCTAGCTTGGAAGTCGAGTAAACTTGATGGTTTAGTAAATCTTGTAAGATGAGTAGGCCCAGCCCCATCAAGGATACTACATGCAGAAACCTACTAGATTAAAAATATAAAAACATGACATTTTCTTGCTGAGTCCACCTACTCTTAAATTTATGGTTTGATGAGTCCAATCTCTAAATACATACCTTCACCCGACACCTGTACCTGAGTCCATGTAACATAGCTTATGATACATATTGATGATACTATCAATTTGCCTTTAAAAATATCAAATTGTAAGATGTGTACCTTGAGTCGTAAGATGCTGACAATACTTCACATCATGTGTCACATATCATATGTCGCATTATGTATCGGATGTGTATCGTAAGATACTTTTAATATAAGATAAATATTGATGATAGTATTGATTTACCTCTAAAAAGTATCGAATCATAAGATCAATATCGTGAATCATACAATACTACCCTTAACTTAGACCTTTTCATGCTTTCAGCTGTTCTATTACTGGTCTTTGTGAGGTGAATCATTGTAATTCTCTCTCATCTTCTTGTTGATCCTTTGAAATGTTGAAGTTGTAAAGATTTCAAGGAGGCTGTAACCACTTGAAGTGGGTGCAAAACAGCTTTCTTAAACTGAATTTTCTTTCTTGCTTAATGCTTGTTTCATGGACTATGCAATGAAATTCACATTTTCAAAGTTTCTAAAGTAGCGATTTATCTCACCAATAAATGTTAGGTAAATTCCCTTGAAGTTTTCTTCCTTGCTTCTATCATGCCAGTGTTTCACTGTCACCAGTGCAAGAGGGCCCTTAGAAGAGTTGACAAATGATTATGCAGAATTTTTAAAATTAAGCGAGAGAAATAGTTATCATATCAAGGATGCAGAAATGGCTTTTTGGCCCTAATATGTATAGTATTTGTATATATATATATGTATAGCAAGATATTGAAAAGCAATTTTAAACTTTTTGTTATTTGTATCTAGTGTGAGAATTATATAACTAATAGTGAAGCACAATTTTTTATATTTTATTTTAAGTAAATAAGATTGTACTAGGGAGAGTACCAAGGGAAACCTTTGTACAAGGGAAGGAAAGGAGAAAGAAAAAGAAGAAAACAAAACCTCAAAAACATGCACAAGGCAAACAACAAAGCATCCACTGCCTACCACCATTCCAGCTCCAAATCTAACCAACCCCCTTTCCAAATCTTTGCTACTTCCGCTTTTTTTTTTTTTTTTATCAGATTTGAAAAGGCCTCCTCAAAGTCCATCGGGGGGAATATTGTCCAGACCTTTCATTTTCTCCCCAACACACTCTTACATTTCTTCCATTTTTGCTCCTTATGAACACCGCAGTATGTTTTCCTCCCACCATCATCAATCCAAAAACTTATGCCTGTTTTTTGATGTCTTTCACAACCATTGTTGTCAAATCGAATCATGAATTATTTTTTCCAAAATAGTGAACCATGAAGAGTAGGATTCGCTTTATATCATGAATAATCACTTTATATACAATCCTTAGATGTGATTAGTTGTTTTAACACATTGTATTCAATTTATATAATGATTCATAAAACAAGTCCTAGCAATTTTCAACTACACGTCACTTTTTATATATAATCTTCAGATGTGTTTAGCTGTTTTAACTCATTGTGTAGTAAGCCACAAGCATCTGTTTAATTTGTTTTGATGTAGTATGTTCTATATGCTTCTTATTAAATATTTTTTTCTCATGCATATTCACGTCTCAAATTTTTTTTTCCTACTCTTACTTGTTTTACACCTTGTTTCCAAAATTTATCAGGTGCAACTTTCAGCTCAAAATGACTACAAATTTTCAGATGATGATCACAAGATTGATGACGAGACGAGGGCAGTAGATGATGAGTTGAGGAATATACTGAAAGATATCTTTATTGATAATGCTAAATTGAGAAAACAGGTCAACTCTGTACTCCGCTATTCTCTCAAAATGAACATCTCAACTGAGAAAGATGATGACGAAGATGGTCCGTCAGCAGAAAATGTACAAAATACAAATGTAGAGAGATGAAAAGGAGGGGATGATGAATATTGTAAATTTTGTGATATAGAGGCACCCCTCAAATCAAGGTTTAACATTTTCGACTCAAAAATAGTTTCATCTCCCGAAGCACATACAAAATTTAAATTTAGGGTAGACAGCCCCACAAATCGCATTGTATTTTCCTTGTACAATTGAGCTGAATAACGAGGGCAAGTGGAAAACGAGAGTACCACCAATGAAATTAGATGTTATTTATAACATTCTCAGGTATGATCCATTGGATTGTATTTTGTTAAGAAATTATATGTGACCGGGTTGGTTATACATCAATGTTAGAAGGTCCATGGGATTATTGAATTATGCGTGGGCACTCCAGTATATTCGTTTCTGGTAAGGTCAATTAAATTATAATGTTTCAGTTTTGGTTCGTACAATGATCAAATGTTGGATGCTTTTTTATTTATTTTTTTCTGGAAGATCTTGCAGAAAGCCCACAATTGAATGTGGTACAAGTTATGTTGTGCTGGATGGTTAAATTGTTTTGGCAATTATATTGTAGGTTACATTTTTGTTTTTGTTATTTGGTTAAAGATAATCTTTATTTAATTTAGGCTGCAGCTCTAAATTAAATACATTTTAAGGTGGGTGTAATTGAAGTGGTTCTCTTGTTTTGCTCCCCAAAACAAAAATGGTTCTCTTCGGTAGTGAAAATTCAGTAGAATGATGACATAGAGAATGGTAAATTTCACTACTGGTAGATTTCAAAATTAAAAGATTAAAAAAATTACAGCAAAGTGGAGAATACATAGCAGCAGCTTAGGGAAAATTCAATTGTCCATGAAAAGAAAACTATCACCAAAGGTTTAAAAAAATAAAAAATAAAAAATAGGAAACTGGGGGATGGAGAGGAATTCACGACTCAGATCACTCATAAGGTAAACTTGGTATTCAAAACATTCACCAATTCTTGCCCAAGCACCGCCCTTAACCATGCAGACCTGCAACAACTAAAAGGAATCGTGATTAGTGTTACATAATTTTATTTCACTTTCACGCAGACTTGCAACAATTAAAAGGAATCATGACCGGAGTTACATAATTTTATTTCATTTTATGAAAAAGTGCACAGAATACAGTATTAGCAACATTGCGTTTGCGTTCACCCTAAATGAGACCCACATCCCATTGCATGGTACTTTTATCTGACTAGTTTAGTTTCTATCATGCCAATCAGAAACGGAACTGTGTGTAGACATATTGGGGCCCTACCCCCGCTTTACTCAAAATATTCTACTATTGTGTATAAATTTGGCTCAACATACTAGCAACTTCTCTTATGTGACCCCCCTCCCATTTAATGCTCAAGTTTTTAACTTTTCTCTTTAATAGTTCTTTATTATAAAATAATAACAATATCTATATAATATATTGGAGAATGTTACACGTACACCCATATCATAAAAAATATATGAATTTTTGTGATGAAAGTTAAAAAATAGTTAGTGTTATTTTGTTATAAATTTATTTATAATGAATTTATGATGTGCACCTCTAAAGTGAATATGAAAATTATGAGTCATTGTAATTATGTTATGAATTATTTGTGCTGTAAAATGTTACGAATTATTTTGGTCAAAAAAAAATTATGGTTATATTACGTATATTGTGATAACGTGTATATGATATGCACCTTTCTAAAGGTGCACATCATAACAACTCTCTAATATATTATGTTCTAAAATATTTTATAAAGAGTGAAATACTTAAGTGGAATAGTAACACAATTTTTATGTGGTGTCTCAGCCAATAAAAAATTATAAATGAAATTAGATTGACAATCATTGTCTTACACTAACTCAGTTATTATTTCTCGCTATAATAATGTAAAAATTCTCAAGGATAAATGATAATACCAAATATTATTACCGTCATACAAAATATTTAACAAAAATAAAATTTTATCTACTTCCAATTAATAGCATGAAAAATAACAAGGATTAATTGCATGAACATCCATTATCTACTTCCAATTTTATCACTTGTCTTCCTGTTACAATCTGTCTTTATATTTTTTTTGGCCCCCCGATAATCGAATCCTAAGTCCGTCACTGATGCCAATGCTTATCCATTGTGATTACTAACCTTGACCGTAGCAATGTTGCCCCTTATAGTGATAGTACAAAACCAATGTAAATAATGTTCAAATCATTGTAAGTATATATACTCGTTGCAAAGAACTTTAGGACATTATAACTATACAAACAATACAAGTTAGGCTCTTGTCTTAGTTTTCAATATTTAGTTTTTAGTTCTTCTGCTTGTGTAGAAACCAATCACAGATCCGGGCACATAAGTTTAAAGACAAGTGATGCAAGTGCTATCAATCCATAGACTTTCACAAGAAAATGAAAAGGAATAAAATCTCAATCGAGAACAAAAAGAATTCAAAACATCTAATCCTCTATAGCAGTAGTAAAACAAAGGTTTCAGAAGTACTATAGTTTATTCAAACTTTTTCTTGAGATTATTCATTCTCAACAACAAACTATTCTCCATGTGCATGCAACGATGATTTCTAAAAACGCATTTTCTTGATTTAAGATCGGGAGAACAAAGGCATTCTACCTTAACAACAATGTTCTATTTGTCGTGGCTCCAAAAGAATAAAAAGTGGCTTTCCGTTTAGCCTCTGTTGTCCCTGAAAGATATCAAATGGTTGAAAGGAGAGTCATATATAGGGAAGGTACAAACAGGTAGAGCCATTACAATACAGGGAAAATTGCATTTAAGTGGAAACTTCATAAAATAATCTCAATTTGATGGAAAAGCTTATAGATTTACTTTTTAATGTTTCAAAGTTTTCCACTAATATGCAATTATTTCCCCCAAATTCTACTGAAATTGAGATAGATATATGAGCTCAAAATGTTACTTGATCAAGATGAATAACTATGCTCAGGAGTGGCCTGTCCATTAGGCGAGTTAGACAACCGCCTAAGGCCTCGTATTTGAGAAGGCCCCCAAGTTTTTAGGATCCCTTAACGATGTATATTTTTCTATTAAGCAAATGCCTTCAGTAATGGACAAAGCTGAAAAAGTTCATTATCTTAGGGCCTAAGAATGAAGTTGATGAGACCTCACATGCTCAAAATCATAATTTAAAATAAAAAATGAAATCTCATATGTTTCATTTTCTTCTATATTTGTACTGGGTCAAATAAATAAAAGGCACGTGTCAAAATATTCTTAGATTGAATGACTTTTTTTGGTTCGGACCCAAAATAGTGAACCATTAAGAGTGGATCAAATAAGCCTCAAATAAATTAAAAGTTACGATAAGTGTGCTCTCGCACTCTTTTTAAATACGTTGTTAGTTAATATAAGATCAAATGCTACTTTGAAATCTAAGATGCCCTCTCTGACCTCGTTTCAATCATCAAAACCATATCCAACATGTACCCACTCGTTCCGGTAATCAAAATACAACATGATAAGAAATTGAAGAAGATTACATGAAAAATAAATAATATATATTCAACATGGCATTAGGTAAAGTTTCATTCTTGTCATCATTTTACTACTCGATTGCACAGAATAATAAAAAGATTTCACGCCTTGCCTTTGAAAAGGAGTTAACATGAAGGTTTTGAAACAAGTTCCGACATCAAAAAGTGATAAAACACTAAAAACACAGATCACAATAGTTCAAGAATTACCTTGACCTCAGGCAACCCTACAACACATGCACATTCGACCACCTCAGCCTCCATACGTTCTACAAATTAGAAAATTAGTACACCAATGGTTTGTGAGCTCAATAAACAGTAGAAAAGAACACAATAAAAGAGAACGAATTTGACAATTCCAATGGAAGGGCCACGACTTAACTTACCTAGAAGTCTAATTGCTGCAGAGAGAGTCCCCCCAGTAGCTACTATATCATCAATTATCACTGCCCGTTCCCCGGGCTGAACAGCATCAACATGCATCTCTAGACAATCAGTACCATACTCGAGAACATACGCTTCTGAAATTACTTTGCCTACAACATATTCATCATATTTAAGGGTTCAAGAAAAATCATGTGCACAAAATATTACAGAAACAGCATTTGCAACAAGTTTTATTTTATCCATTTGTAGTTTTGGGATGCGTGTGTGTCGAGAGAGAGAGACAGAGAGAGAACATTTTTAAAAAAAATATATGTATACATTGGTTGATAAACAGAATTGGCGTGGTGAATGTGCAAATCTAGACAGTTTGCAGATTTAGACATCTTCACGTTGAAAGGGTAAAAGTCAATATAATGTATCAACAAGTGCGTCCACTGTAGTTATGATGAAGATGAAAGTAAGCCCTAGAAGTTGTTATCGATTGAAAGCCAATGAAGAAAGTTAATTCAACTATCACATGACTCATAGAGACCATCAAGAATCGTTTTCCTATTACATCTCATCCTACCGAATAATCATTCATTTGAGATTGGCTTCAAGAATTTACGAAATCAACCAAGTAAAAATGCATTACGTGGCATTGATTTCTCAGTTTTGAAAAAGAACAAACATTCAAAAAATTTCTATATATGCACTACTTACTACACTTTGAAATTCAACAAGCAATGGGCAGCATACCTGGTAACTTTCTTGGTTTACGTAATGGAACAAACTTTGCACCAATAGCTAAGGCGATAGATGGCCCAAACATGAATCCTCTTGCTTCTATTCCTACAAATAGTCCGGTGACATAAGAAATCATTCAGTCAAGCCTATGATAAAAAAAAGTTACAGACAATTTTATTCTTATCTAACCAAAAGATCACTATCATAATGCTGCAAAGTTTTATTAGTGAAAACCATATATGCTTTTAATGACTTTCATGTCAATCATAGTAGGAAATTGAAAAAAGAGTCTACCAAATAAGAAAAAATCATCCTTCAAAAACTAAGAAAAAAATAACCTAAAACCGGCAAATTTCTAGTAGAAAACATCTCACCTTTTTCTCGTTTTTATGGGTTAAATATAAAATCTCATTTCAAATTAACCCAAAAAAAAAAATCAGAAAAAATAAGAAAAAAAGTTAAAGCTAGTATGCAAGCAATGGCAAGTGTAGGTAAATTTTGAAAATTGTAGCATAGCACACTTTATCACCCAAATGTAAAGAAATTAACCACTTATGGCCCCCAAATATTTTCAGAGGTTAAAATTGTTTTTGTTCATAAGAGGGTACCACAATTCAAAATTGTGTTATTTTTGTTCATAAAAGGGGAAGAAATCCTTGGAACAATACATCCAAATTCGCAAAGGTATTCCAATTTAAAAGATTGCTATGCTTTCAAATAAAAATCACAAAATATATTGGTGAACATAAACTAAATTTAGCAAAACCATGGCATAATGCAAGATAAATTAACAAACCAAGATTTAAAAATAAATAAATACATGAATCCAGGAAAAAGTAGTCAAATTTGGAAATCAATGACCCTCGAAAAAAGACCAAGTCAATACCCAAAAATAAATATAAAAAAAAAAAAATGCAAGAGGGCTACTATGTATAACCAGGTGGATTCAAGTTCAACTGTGTTTTCACCTTCTACATAGCTAGTGGAACCCCCCCTTTTTTTTAGTAGATCAAAGAAACAATTTATATAATCTCGCCTAGGGGAACCCATTCTTTTTATTTTTGGCTCTTGTTTGCGACAAAATAATTCATTATTCTCATAGTTGTCAAATCAGGATTTGTATCGTGAATCGAAATGGTTTCGTACCAAATCATGAATCAAATTGAATCGTGAATCGTAAAGATTCAGTCACATTTTCTAAATTATTTAAAAACATATGTCTACACATTTAGATGTTAAACATATTTTATGAATATGAAATATTTAGACTTAAATCAATGAAAATATTATTTTGAATGATAATCAGGTAGTTTAATAAGTAGAAGTTAACAAAAATTCATATATAAGATCATCATCTTACTTTTTTTTAATTTTAAATATTTCTTATTAACCATTCTTAACAAAGATAATAACCAAATAGACAAACTATCAATTTTTAAGGTAAAAATAATTAATAACGATATTAATATTTAGACAATAAGCATATATACTTTTCTAAGTAACAGTGAGCAAATAATAAGAAATAATTATTTAGAATATTTTATTTTAAAACCTAAAACATTTTAAAAGGCATAACTAACCTCACACATATAATATTCAATTTAATAAAATAGCAATAGATAATTTATAGTATAACTTTAATCTCAAACATCTTTAAAAAATATATTATGATTTTTTAAAGAGGAAAAAAAATGAGAAAAAAGGTTAAAAATATATTAGGTCTGCCTGAATATGATTGAATCCCCTATTAAAACTCTATGATCACTAAAACAATAACAAATCATGTATATATGTTGGTTATTTTGGTTTTAAACACTATTAAAAGTTGTATTATGTCATTTTCACTAAAAAGATAGAGAGAAAAAAAAATCAAAATTATGTTAGGCAAAATAATTTCAAAAATTACATAAATCATAAAAAGTGAATCGAATCGTGAATCGTGCAATTCACTAAAGATTCACTTCCAAAATAGATTCATCTGTAGATTCGTATTGATTTTATAAAAATTATGAATTGAATCATGAATCAAATCACAAATTGTAAGATTCTGATAACAGCGATTATTTTTAATATGACAGTCTTCTCTTCTGTGGCATACGGATCCAGGTGAACAGAAAAAAAAATTATTGCTTGTTTCCACTTTTCAAAAAACACTTTTCAGAAAATTTTACTTTCTTATTTTCTGCATTTTTTTTGTTTTTACTAAATTTTTTTAATATTTTAAGCAATTTTTTTGCTTTTTAGACACACTTAACATAAATACACCTGAAAAGTAAAAAAATTATAAAAAAAATCTTTTAAAAATTCACTAAATACCAAAAATACAAAAAAAAATACAAGAATTCAGTACATTTTTTATATTTTTATGTATTTATTAATTTTTTAAAATATTTTTTCACAAATTTTTTACTTTTTAAATACATCTAAGTAAGATGCATCTAAAAAAGTAAAAAAAAAATGTTTAAAATTTAAAAAATATTCACTAAAAATAAAAAAAATCAAAAAAGTCTAGAAAACTCAAACAAAACACACTGATTGCTAATTGTCCAAAATGAGAATCATAAATATTTTGATAAATACATTCCTAAATAATAATATCATCATGACTCTCGAAACCTTGTGTAAATGAAAATTATCCATAAATAGACAACAACAAAAATGCATTCATGTCTATTCGGAAATGTTCGTGTTGCGGTTGAATATATTATTCATTCAACAACGAATATATTAATGTTGAATACAAATGTCTTTTACCATTTGTTCAAATTATAATTTAAAAAAAAAATAAAAAAAATTCAATTGTTACTATTTCACCTCCTAACACACAACTAATATCAAATGTACATTCCCAGGTTAAAAAAAAGAATAAAATTGTTTTGTTAACAGTAAACAAAAAGAAAAAGGTAAAATATCAGAAAATAGAAATTTACATACATTTTTAATGGCTAGCCAAAATAGAGACATATCAAAGCATGTATGATAAATGGGCACCAGAGAATAGTAAAACTAAATTCAGAAGGGAAAAAAAATGACAACAGTAAAATTAAATTTAAAAAAAAAAAAAAAAGTAAAATGTGAGTGTGTGTGAGAGAGAGAGATTACCTGCAACAACAGAGATGTCCATATACCTGTACCTATCAACAAAAATATCAACAGTGTCCTTGAAAGCCTTGTGGTTCAGCAACAAAGTGGTTATGTCTTGAAACATTATTCCTAAAAAAACAACAATTATAAAAAGTTTTGTCAAATTGTGTTGTGACTAGCTATGTATCTACATTAAAACCAAAACAAAAAAGAAAAGAAAGGAAAAGAAAAGAAAAGAAAAGAAAAAGAAGGGGAAATACAAAAACAAAGAAGAGGAAACCTGGTTTAGGGAAGTGAGGAATGACTCTAATGGCTTCAGAGATGCCATCAAGCCTTGGGTCTCCCTTCAGTCCATTCTCTACTGCAAACATCTTCAGATTTTCTCTCTCAACCTCTCTCTCTCTCTCTCTCTCTCTCTCTATATATATATATATATATATTTGGTTTCCAAGTTCCTAACAGGGTTTGTTTCCCTGGCTCCAGAAGAAGCAGGAGGAGGATGGTAAATATCAAATCTCTGCATAGTTCCATGTGCTACAGATTGTGACATAAATACACATTTTCCCTGTTGGCCAATCCAAAGCACTCTCTCTGTCTCTGGCACAAGGAACCCCTCTCCTTAAATATTATCGTCTCCATTCTTAAATCACTCATAATTATTGTATATATTTTTAAAATTTCATATAATTTAATAATTATAAATAATTTTAGACAAGAGGACGAAAATATTTAGGGATAGGGAAACCTGGCTCTTGTCTCTATGCGTGAGAGAGGAATTTTGACTTAAAAAAATTGGAGTAATTTCTGTGTAGATTTTAAAAATATTTTTAATTAAACAAAATTTAGATTTTGAGTGCCATGTCATTAGTGGTCTTTTTAGAGTTCCAAAATTAGTGGTCTCTATCATTGTTGAATGCAAAGGAAAATGAGTGAGAGCACTAATTAGTGCTATCACTAATGATGTGGCAGTGGGTCCCACAAGGAATGATTTGATGTTTTGGCCTTGGTGTTTTATTTTTTTTCTTTTTTTATTGAGTGCCATGTCATTAGTGGTCTTTTTAGAGCTCCAAAATTAGTGGTCTCTATCATTGTTGTTTAGAAAAATGTATTTAGAGATGTTTTGAAAAGTTAGTGAAGAGTTAACTTTTTAATTTTTTTTGATTTTTTATGTGAGAAGTAATGTGACTCAAAATGAATTAAAAGTTGATTTAAAATTTTTTTTTTATGATGTTCTCAAATAGTCCCTTATTTAAATATAGGGCAAATTACAAACACCCCTCTCGAGGTTTGATAAAAATACAGATTTCTCCCTAAAGTTTGAGAAATTACAAATTGCCCCCTGAGGGTCAAATTTTCATAACAAATTAGGGGAAGTTAGGGGGGAATCTGTATGAAAATAAAAACCTCAGGGGGCAATTTGTTATGAAAATATAAACCTCAGGGGGCGAGATGTAATTTCTCAAACCTCAGGGGGAATCTGTATTTTCACTAAACCTCAAGGGGGGTGTTTGTAATTTGCCCTTAAATATACTTATTTGACTTACATCATTTCTTTATTTTTTTATATATCTTTTCATAAAATGTCACAAAGTATGTTTAGACTTCGTTTGACAAGTGAATATTTTAGTTTAAAAATCAAAAAGTCACTAAAAAAATTAAAAAACCAACTATATATATTAAAAAATTAAAGATTTTATTTTCTCTCTACTTTTTGTATGTTTTTTCGTAAAAAATCAAAAAATTATTCTGAACATACTAATTTTTTTATCCTAATTTTTAACTAAAAAAATAAAAAATTACTAAAATAATATGTTGTCCCGTGAGTTTTCAAAATAGGAAACTCTTACTGAAATAGCCTCATTTGGACAAATTCCGTGAATGTAAAGGTGTTGTACTGTAAATTGCCACTTTCTTTAGGAGAAAAATTAGTTATATATAATTAAGGTCCAAAATTTTAAAATTTTGAAGTCGTAAATCAACTTTTCACATTTTCTTTTCTTCCTCCTCCTCCCAACCCCCAATTTGTCCTTATGGTCCTCTTTGGCAGCAATAGTATAGATTCTCTCTACCAAATGGAGCAAATAAATAAATTTCTCTTCAAACTTGGGAAATAAAATATGCAATCTCTCTCTCTCTCTCTCTCTCTTTATTTGGAAAGAATATTGAACTAAAATAATTTAGAAAAATGTTTAAAACCCCTTTTTTTCCCACTCTCTTTGACCCCCTCTCTTTCTCATTGGTTGGATTTTCTTTTTCTTTTTTTTTGTTTCCCTTGTCATTCAATCACCACCTGTCACATGTGTGTGGGGGTGGTGGGGATGGTGATTGGAAGGGGTCTCCATCACTCCTCAATAATTTATTAAAAGATAAAATATATTGAAATAATCAATCAAATAAAATATCACATTCAATCCATAATTATTTTATTTTTTCTCTCACAATTATCAAATTAATTATATAAATTTAAAAAAAAAAAGAACAGAAAACTTTCCAAACATAAATATTTTAGTCAAGCTAAAATAATTAAAAAAACTAAATAGCCAACTTCCTAAAAAAGGTCTATGTATATATTTTCTGTTGTCTTTCGTCCATTCCATTTCGGCCCATTGCCTTCTTACCAACTTCTCAATTAGTTTGTTCTTCACCATCAAATTTGTAAATTTTTTCACCAAATTTAAATGTCTTTATTGTGTTACAACAAATAGATTTTAAATTTCTTATTGTGAAGCCTTCAATTTAATATTTTTAGTCATAAATTTTAAATTAGGTGTCGAATTTTATATAGTTGGCTCTCATAATATTTTAAAAAAAATTATCTCTCAATTTTTAATATTAATTGTTTAAAAATATTAGAATTTTATTACATAAAGACAACAAACATAATGATTTTTTTTAAAAAAAAAAAATCATATTCATCGTTGATCTCCAAGGATTTCAAATATATAAATTTTATCAAAAAAATAAAAAAATTAGATTAAAAAAATTAAATTTTAAGGTTTTAAAATGATAAAATTAAAATGGGCAGGAAAATTGACCTGGTTGGAAACAGCTAAAAAAGTCACATTTTCAGAATCTTTTGTCCTTTTTTTTATTTTTATAGATTTGTGTAAAACAATTTACTTTTCATGTCCATCTAGTTTAAAATAATCTAAAATAAAATAACAAAAAAACACAAAAGGATTAAAAAATAAATAAAAATCAATTTTTTTTGGTTTTATTAGCCTGTTTGGTTTAGCTTTTGAAAATTTTGTTTTTTGTATTTTTTTTTTTTTTGTCTTTAGTAAGTTCTTATTATATATATTTTAGTCAAATTTAGTGATTTTTAATAATTTTTTCATCCTATCCTGATTTATATTAAAAAGTTGTTAAACGAATATTTTCTTTCTATTTTTTGGGAGAGGATATATTCTCTTTTGATCATATTGTTTGGATTTGCGGTGCCCACCATTTGATTCATTTGTAGATCATTCATAAAAAAAAAATTAAATTAATTTGATAATCATAACAGTATATTTTATTAGATTTGTTTTAACAAATAGATAAGTATGACTTTAAAATAGATTATCTAACTTTTAAAGACAAATATGATAAAAATATGCTATTCCTTTAGATTATCATATTAATTTGAATTAGGACTTTTCGTAAGTGTGCAACTTATACCTTATACTTACGTCTTTCTGTTTGCTGTCCTGTTTTATGTTTACACCTTCCACTTACACCTTTTGTGTTGGTTGCATATGGTGTGCAAGGATGCACACCATAACAGCACCCTATATTTTAATATCTTGAGTCTTGTCTCAGCACAATCAAGTAAAGGAAAGAAAGAAATTGAAAAAGAACGGGGTGAGTGGTCGGCCATTAACCGTGGGAAATGAGAAAGGAAGTTTTCTTTCTTTATAATACGAATGAAAATGTTTGAGGGTTATAATTTTTGTAGTTATAATGGTTTAAAATTGTCAAAATGATGACGCTTTAAGTATAAAATATGCTAAAATAATGTTATTTTGACAGTTTTGAGTCATTGTGACCATAAAAATTATGATCCTCTAACATTGTTGTAATATGAAATAGATTTCACCAACACAAGAAATAAAGAAAGAAATCAAAATTTTAATATAATAAACTAATCAGGTGAAAACAAGACCCTCTTATTTGGTGAAAGGTACAAGTTAATAAATAAAATTCTTTCATGATTAAAAAAAAAGTATAACTTTGATTTTATGGTGTATCATAAATTCATCATTCATAAATCTTACTACAATTTGGTGTCACACACACCATAAATATTTACAATCTTCTTATGATGATTTATATATATATATATATATATATATATATATAAACAAAACACAAGGAAAATTATTAAAAGATAAAATATATTGAAATAATCAATCAAATAAAATATCACATTCAATCCATAATTATTTTATTTTTTCTCTCACAATTATCAAATTAATTATATAAATTTAAAAAAAAAAAGAACAGAAAACTTTCCAAACATAAATATTTTAGTCAAGCTAAAATAATTAAAAAAACTAAATAGCCAACTTCCTAAAAAAGGTCTATGTATATATTTTCTGTTGTCTTTCGTCCATTCCATTTCGGCCCATTGCCTTCTTACCAACTTCTCAATTAGTTTGTTCTTCACCATCAAATTTGTAAATTTTTTCACCAAATTTAAATGTCTTTATTGTGTTACAACAAATAGATTTTAAATTTCTTATTGTGAAGCCTTCAATTTAATATTTTTAGTCATAAATTTTAAATTAGGTGTCGAATTTTATATAGTTGGCTCTCATAATATTTTAAAAAAAATTATCTCTCAATTTTTAATATTAATTGTTTAAAAATATTAGAATTTTATTACATAAAGACAACAAACATAATGATTTTTTTAAAAAAAAAAAATCATATTCATCGTTGATCTCCAAGGATTTCAAATATATAAATTTTATCAAAAAAATAAAAAATTAGATTAAAAATTAAATTTTAAGGTTTTAAAATGATAAAATTAAAATGGGCAGGAAAATTGACCTGGTTGGAAACAGCTAAAAAAGTCACATTTTCAGAATCTTTTGTCCTTTTTTTTTTAATTTTTATAGATTTGTGTAAAACAATTTACTTTTCATGTCCATCTAGTTTAAAATAATCTAAAATAAAATAACAAAAAAACACAAAAGTATTAAAAAAAAATAAAAATCAATTTTTTTTTGGTTTTATTAGTTTGTTTGGTTTAGCTTTTGAAAATTTTGTTTTTTGTATTTATTTTTATTTTTTTGTCTTTAGTAAGTTCTTATTATATATATTTTAGTCAAATTTAGTGATTTTTAATAATTTTTTCATCCTATCCTGATTTATATTAAAAAGTTGTTAAACGAATATTTTCTTTCTATTTTTTGGGAGAGGATATATTCTCTTTTGATCATATTGTTTGGATTTCGGTGCCCACCATTTGATTCATTTGTAGATCATTCATAAAAAAAAATTAAATTAATTTGATAATCATAATAGTATATTTTATTGGATTTGTTTTAACAAATGGATAAGTATGACTTTAAAATAGATTATCTAACTTTTAAAGACAAATATGATAAAAACATGCTATTCCTTTAGATTAT